CTTCCTGTAATTTCTGCTGGTTTAGAATATTCAGGCTAAGTAGATGATAATAGCTTGATGATTGTAGATGATAATACTTTGTCCCTGTTGAAGTCAATGGCACAACATTAACTGAGGACAGCAAGGCACCATTCCACTTACAGCCCAATTCTGAATAGTTCACAATTCATGGATTTGATCCATGACTCGTAGTCCACGATATTCCATAATGAAATGAAAGGAAATGGAATTTAAGACTGTAAGAGTCTCCAGACAGACTCCTCACTTGGAAAACAGCCCATCCATGGTAAGATTTTAACAAAGGTTTTAGTCTGAACCAAAGCTAAAAGGGAGTCCAGAGAAACAAAGGAAAGCTTATGATGCCCTGATCATAGAAGTGTTAAGACCTAGTACTTATCCACTTCAAGAAAATAATTTAATGTCTAATTAAAAAGAAACAATTCTGATAAATTACTTCTAAGTCACCTAAATAAATATCACAATTTCTAATTATAAAATATTCCAACATGCAGAACCCAACATATGGGCCACTTGCAAAGGGGCTAATTTTTGAAACTTACAGAAATCTTGACGTAACATATTTTTATCCTTAATCATGAACTGTACACTTCAAATGTTTTCAGCAAATGCAGCATTATATTCCAGATTATGTATGTTCATGTTCATCAAATAAATAGCGTCTTTAAGACTAATAATGGAAACAACTGCCTGTTAGGCAGAGCCAGAACTCCCCTAGCAGTCACATCATTAAGTTTCAAAAGCAAGTAAAACGATTTTTATGGTTAAAAAAACTCCAACAAAATGTAACAAAAACCTGATCCATTACTGTAGCTTTAGAATCAATTACCAATAACTTTATAAAAATTGAAGTGCATTTTTTGTTTGATTTTCATTCTAACACTGTCAGATGAGCTGTGCCATATATTTTACATATAATTGAGGATCTTGTACAGAAATTCAATTCTGGATCTGTCAAATTAACGGTTCAAACAAATCCAACGAGGACTGCATGCCAAATGCATGCTAAGAGGGTAAAAGAATCAATCTGATCATGATACTGAGGCTCACCTCCCCAGACACTGCTCTTATGAAGAGCCTACTGTGAGCAACAGAACCATTTATGTATGCTCAGAGACTAGATTCATGCGATTCAATAGAACTCTCCACATGCATCTCCCCAGGGCCAATGTCACTTAGTTACGAAGTAAGTAAATAAATGAAATGTTTTCCTTATCATTTATTTTTCTTAAGCTTCCAAATATGATTCAGAGATATAAACATTTAAATAAAGCCTGTCTTTTTAAATACATAAAAATCTTAGCTGTCTCATAATTGGACAGTTCAAATTACAATATAGTACAAATAATTATCAATATTTAACACAAGAAGAAAAAGGAAGTAAATTTAAAATAATGTACCAAGAGTAGTTTTAATAAGTATCTTTATGAAAGTGTAACTGAAAGTGCCAGAACACTCTTCCATACAATGTACCTAAACAGACATGCTTTTCAAAAAGGTCTAACGATTCTCAAGTATGACCAACAGTCTTAAACTATACGGAGAAAGGGCAGGTTAATCTCTGTGTCTGTGTAGTTACTATTCTTGCTCTGGATGTTTGTGACATAAGAGAATTTTGATAACTCTGCACATCCACAAAATCATTTCATACTATAAAATTGCACGCATATTCTTCATGCATGGAACCACACTAGTCTCAATGGGAATAACTGCATAGGAAAAAAAAAAGAAAAAAAAAAAGCATTTAATGACCAATTTGACTTAAGATCACCACTAAAAAAAAAAAAAAAAAAAAAAAGTGTTTAATGACCAATTTGACTTAAGATCACCATGGACATAAAATTGGAATTTATCCTTTAACAGAGAAAAGCAAGTTGGGTTGTTGGTTTTTGTTTTGTTTGGTTGGTTTTTTTCCTGTTTGTTTTTATCACCAGGCCATTCTGTGGATAGTGACACTGAAATTATTCTACAAAGTCCCAGATCTGTATCTTTTAGTGGGCATTCTCGTCAATCATATGCACATTTATTCATCTTTCTGCTGTGTCTTGGGTTGCTGACCATACAGGTAGAAAGCCACAATCTGAACACAGAGTCATTCAGCTCCATAGCTGGGTTATGTCCTGTCTGGTACTAACTTTGGTCATGTGGTCATGTAACTTATAATCTAAAACTCAGCAAAACAATTATTTGATTGAAAACTGGAGACTTGCCATACCCTAGGCATTCCTATTCTGTTGCTTTCAAAGACACTGCTTTTCCTTTTACATATTTTTAGCATAATTATTATAATGCATTTGCCCTCACAAGATCTAAAAATAAAGAGCAGAGTTCTCTTCTACCTTTTTACATCCGTATAAGGAACACACAGTGCAATGAAATCTGAATAATAGATTATGCATTCTTTGAACAACGAAAGTACAGCATAGAAATGAAATAGCTCCAAAATCTTGCACGTAATTAATGAGAGCAATGACGCTATTACGAAAGTAAGTGCAGGGGATAACCTGTATTCTGAAAGCAGCACAGATGGTGCTCCTGACAGACAATTCTGTCCACCCTAGTTCCTCAAAAACAAACATAAAGTGGGTTTATAGGATATTGTGGCATTTCATGTGGCACTTTCAGGAAGAGATTTAAAGGTTTCTTTCTAATTCCACAAACACACAGTCAATCTTAATTCTTACCTTCAGTTGCCCTAAAACATCTGACAGAGAAAAGCCTTTTTATTTGTTCTGATTCTGGAGTGTAAATACTGGAAATAGAAGGCAAATGCTGAAACTTATTATGTCAAGTACAAACTCTACAGACATAAATACTTTTTTTTTTTTTAACATGCGATCAAACATGGCTTCAGAGAGAAGCCAAATTGAGACAGTGATACTTGGAAACCAAGGTTTCACTAACATGTCAGTTTATACTCACTTGTTTAATATGTCCTTTAACATGGCATTCCACCTAGTCAGGCGTGAGACCTAGGACTGAAGGGGGAAAAAACTACTGCTAGTAAATGACAGCTAAGTTATGGTTAGTGAGACTGCAAAATATCAATAGCTTTATTGTGCTAGAGACCTATTTTGACATATTAATGACTGGCTTAGAAAGAGCTACTTTTATCTAGGTCACAGTGAGATATCACAACGTCCTCCAAAGGATGTGGAATATATGTATAGGAGGGACAAGACAGTGGGGTAAAACAGGGACATAAATAGTAAGATTGGAAAGAAAGGCAAGAAGTCCTTTATACTAAAAATCAGCAAGGGTACCTGTAATCTGTACAAAGAAACTCACTGCACTTTTGACATTGTCTAATGCTTACCACCCAAATAAACAGTAATTACATGCATATTTCAATACAATAAGCCAAAACTCTGATCCCAGTTCCCACAAACCAACTGAAGTGTTCTTCAGGACAATTCCACTTGTAATAAAAAACAGATGGTAAAGGAAACAAATGTCTCTTTGTGATCTGATTTACACATCTGCAGACATTTACAATATGCATGCATTTCCACAGAATGCTGAACAAGCTAAATTGGGGAATGGGATTTTTTTTTTTTTTTCTTAATGGGCATATGTAGAAAATGAGTGTGACTCAAGAAGAAAATAAGCTGTGACAAAGAGACATCTATCCTATCAAGCTTATGTGTTTCTAGATCAGTATCATATTACAGCACCATGTTAAGAAACACCAATCAAGATAAAAATCAGACAACTTTGGAAATAGTTTACTTCAGGGAAACACCTCTCAAATGTGAGATGGCTGAGGGATGGGTGATTTTCAGATTTATCCCCTCTCTGAAAGAAGACCTGAGGTTACCAATAGTTGTCCTTCAGAAATTCATTACACAGAAAAGCAAAACATCCCTCAGCAACACAGACCTGGAGATTTATTTAAGATCTTCCAAATCTCACATTGCCATTTTATGCAGACATCAACAATAAGCCATTGACAATGACATCAAATATTTGCATTGGTCTCAGTGAAATTATGTACAAGAATCACCATAGAAATGTGTTACAACAAAGAAGGATGGAAGAACCTCATTAAAAAAGAAAATCCTTGCAGAACCTCTTTGACAAGAGGTACAGGATAAAGCAGTGCAAGGAGCGAAGATGTTAATAGCCTACATACAGTCCTCTCCAAATTTAACTACTCGTTTGGGAGATCTTGTTGGTTTCTTGGATTTTGTCCCATTTCTTTTTCTCTGGATAGTTTACTGCAGGCTCACAAAGGGTACCACATGGTCAGGCATAGAAAATTAAGTCTTCTCTTCTGTCAGAGCACAAAACCCAATGTAAGTGCCACACCTCTGAACTGAAGGAACCATATCCTATAATGATATTCAATATCCATGTCCATTCCAGTCCTAGGCCTGTCTGCTGAGACTATTAATAAGGAACTTTATTCACTCAAATGTTCTGACCGTTTCCTGCCGCTGAAGGGAGGCTGAACAGCCTTAAACCTCAGCTTGTATTTATTTTGCACCACTACAATGACCAGTGAGACACAGACAAAATGCATCAGTAAACCTGTCCAAGGGGACTGATTATCACCATCAGGAACTGGGCCAGTTTAACCAGTTTCATTTCATATAAGCCTGCATACTTATCATCAGATAGTAAAGACTTTCAGGAACTAACCGCTTAGGCTGGAGTCAAACTGGTGAGCTGAAGGTGAAAAGCTCCATATTCTACTACTAATCCCCTGAGCTATAGAGGCCCCAGCTGGTAGTTCTACAAAGGTTCACGCAGCTTTTTTTGAAAGGCAGCAAAAGTAGTTACAAGTATTTTTTAAAAACAAACCAAACTAAACCAAACCAAAAAACCCCACACTTGCAAGAACAACTATCTTTTTCTTAAAATAATCTCTCTGAAAGTAGCAGACTGTACACATTTTACAAGAATAAACAAACTTCTCTAATATTTATCCACAAACTGGGAGTCAGAGATCATTAGTGCAAATTTCTGCTGACCTGCAGCATTTATTCTATAAACTTTGGATATCCTAAGTGGTCCATTAGAGAACAACAGATATCTTCAATCTGTCTAATCTCTTCATAGGGCATGTTTTGTTTCCAGGCATGAATGATACTTGGTGAAATTTCCCCTTCGTAAGGAAGATAGAAAAGACTGGTGGAAGTGGCAAATAATATTTGGTTTAAGCTAGCAGGAGGAAGAGGAATACCAAGAAAGGTAAAAATTTTTTCAGCCATTTTCTGAGGAAAGCTCACAATATCTTCAAACTTGACCAGCTGATAACTCGTTGGCTGCAGGTTCCCATTTATTCTCAGTGCTGCTGCTGTGTTTGCTAGCCATAAATAGGACAACACAGAAACAGCGTTTGAATTAGAATTTGAAAGTTCTTTTCTTAATGACTCATATTCAAAGGCATAGCCTTCATTTAAACTACATTTTCCTTTACCATTTTCCCCTTTAAACATTGCAGCCAAGTGTTGTGGAACATTTTTCAAGGAGTAAAGGCTTGGCTTATTTTTGTACAACATTGAATAGATCCATGCCCGTGGGTCCCTTACTATATATAATGCTCTCATTGAGGGTCCTAGGATTGCCTGAAAGAAAGGAAGCTTTAATGTCCAGCTCCCACTACTTAAACTAAGCACTGGTCGCGCATTAGGATAATAGACAAGATGTCGTCTCAGTTCCCTAATATATTCAGCATCTTTATCTTGACTCCCTCTTGCCCTGCTTCTTTGCTCTGACAGAGATTCTCTCTTCTTGGATCTTTTCTTTTTGTCCTTGCTTATGGCAGAATGCTGAGCAATTTTACTTCTGCTGGCTTCATATAAATGAATGTTTTGTAAATGTAACTTTGTGCCTCGAACTAGAGACTGGAGCCACCCTTGGATAAGACGAAAATGACCATTCTGGACATCAGAAACCTTCCACTCACATGGATCTACAAAGGAATCAATTTCAAATTCAGTCTCAGGAATTTCAAGATAGGGTGTAGGTATCCTGACATATAAAAAGTCACTGCTATTGAAAAACAGCTGTTTTAAAATTTCTGCACCAGAGGCAGGAAGTGAAGTAATGATAACATCTGGCAAAACAACAGGGTTTCCTTCTGACTGTTTGGCTTTATTGCCTTTATCATGTTCCAGCCTTGTCATGTCACTGCTCCATTTTGCACAGATGGGCTGAGTACACATGCTCCATACATCCACCAATTCAATAAGCCACAGTGTGACAATCAGTATCAGGATCCAACGCAACATTTTACTGAAGGATATGTAAAACCGCCACTGGAAAGCCAGTATGACCAAACTAACACCCAAAATTAACCCTGCAATTATGTTCACTTTGAATCCAAAGGGGAAAACCACTCTATTATTTTTTATCCGTTTTTCCACAAATTCAGTACCCAGACCAAACTTGGTCACTTTGTTTTCATTAACTACTTTGGCAAAACCACCAAATCCCAAGTAATCGAACCTTGTCTTTAAATTCTGATATTCAGTTACAACAGAGATGGTATTTTCAGTGTTGTTGACACTGAGCGAAATCTGAAATCCAGATTTTGCATTATCTATGAGTCTGCAGTTAGAAACATTGACGTATGGGCCATAGAAAAGGTAAACAATCCTTGTAAGCATGTTTTTCATTGGAAAGGTAACATTTACAAACTGAGTCCATCGCTTTTTGAATTCAGCAGCTTGTTCTGCCTCCTGTATCCTAGCAACAGGACTACTCCCATGATGATCAAACCAAAACATCTTGTAGTGGGCATCCCACACATCCATCATAGCTCCATTGTATTTGTTCTTAAATTTATAGGGTATGTATTTAAAATCAATGTCAAGATTATGAAAAAAGGCACTGACAGAATTAACAGGAGAGTCTTCCTCCTTTTCGATATGGTCTACTACTAACAATATCTGAGAATTTAAGAGCAACAAAATGCGATACACACTTTTCAATTTCATTGCTGATGTGTAAGCAGATACCGCCTCACCACTCACAAACATCATGTCTCCAGTCTGGGTGGCTGTTATAATTTCTCCAGTTGAGTCTCCAACCTCATCACCAATCCACTTCAGCCACTGGGCACACTCACCAAGCTGTCCCTCCCAAGGCTGGTTGCACTGGCTCGTAGGAGATGGAGCAAAGACCAAGACGTTGTTTAGGTGGCTGAGTTTAGGTCCATAAAGAGCCTCAGATACAAACACTTGCCCATTGGGAGCAAAAGTGAAAGAGTTCTGATCGGGATGTTCATGTCCTGGATTGAAACTTCTCCACCCATCAATCCAGGCATATGGTTGAAAGTGAACAATATCATAGACAGCACGTCCACCAAGTTTTCCAGACTTAAAGGACACAAAGGTGTTTGCCTGACTGTTTGGCAATCCAGCCCCATAAGTAACAACTCCCCAGTTAGGAAACACATGCATTTTAGCAGTACCATAGTCAGGAGGCGGCTGAGGAGTAATTTCAGCAGCATACCATATAAATTCAGTGTGTAGTGTGCTCCACCTCTGTGCAGTGGATGGCACCATTGGCCCGTCCTTCGGCCTGTGTTTTCTAATCTGCTGTGCCAGCCAGTTGCCAGCTCCATTCTTCATAATAAACTTATCCAAGAAAACCAGTTGGCTCTCAGGACCATAAAACCAGTTGTAATTAGAATCTGCTATGCCCACAGTCCTCTGAAAGCCTGGTAATAAGGTGGCATAGTAAAACCAAAAGTGCATTTTGAGCCAGTTATTCTCCGAGTTGTTAATACCAAAGTGGCGCTGGGCCAGGAAAACATACTGGGTTATTGACTTGGCTGTGTAACTCCCATAAGCTACTCCCTCATCCAGAGACCCGTCCACAATATGATTGAGCAGAAACATTGTTTTCTCCATCACATCAACAACAGCGTGTTTCCAAATATTTGCCCGAGATCCTTTGTCCATCCCTGAAACTAAAGCCCCAATAAGCAAAGCAAGCATATTGGTTGCTTGATGATTATGGAGAAGCTGCTTTCCCCAGGAACGGACCTTTGAGTACTCATACATTTCCTCACTTACAGACCATATCTTCTCCAGGTATTTTTGCCTTCTCTCATTTTCCAGTGAATTATACAAGAAGTCAAAAGCAGTGGCAAATCCTGTTAGGGAGTGACCCAGTGGCACTTCATCTCCAGGTGCATTCTCAACCAACCAGTTTTTGTAGCCAGCCATTCTATCCATGTATTCTAGGGCAAAATCAAATGCAGCTTTATCTTCGGGGCACAGCAGGCAATAAAGTGCTAGAGGTGGCAGATTGTTACCATAAATCTCATTCCACTTCGCAGCAAAATCAACATGCTTGGGTGGAGGAAGGTAGTATAAAGGGTTGGATAGCATAACCGTCACTGCACTTCTGATGGCTCTGAATAGATGGGAATGGCTTGTATGAGCCTTCTGCCTCAGTGCCTGTACATCCTCAGAATCAAAATACAAGTTTGGATGAAGAACTGTTTTTTTCAGCTTCTGGTCAGCACTAAGACCTTCAAGTTGCTGTTTTTCATACTGATCTACATTTTCTATGAAAGTCACCCAATCGGAGTAATTGCTCACAGACTCTTCAAAAGTGAAGTCAGCAAACATCACTAATGCTAGAAATAATGTATGCCCCATGAACATCAGAGCCATGATCCATTAGGCAGCTCTTCTTCCCCACGCATGCATTTCCTAACAAAACACAATGTTCAGATATCAAACTTTGATCCAGTTAGTACAAACCTGAACATCTTAAGGCATATTTTTAGGAGAAAACACTCAGCGTGTACTGTGCATTCTAACAGATACTCTCAGATTACTTGTAATCTGAGATACAACATTGGAAATAACAAGGTTCTCAAAAACTGAAATCTCAGGTGCCACGTCTGTTCACACTTTTCTCAAGCACAACACTACAGCATAAATACTAAAATTAGGGACAAAGTAAAATCTCTAAGATGCTCATAGAAAACATGGGTCGACCATGCACAATAAGAGACTCAAACACTGTCTCTTGACAACTTGAAAAACTTGACTTGAAAAAAGGAATTGGAGTCAAACATTTGCTTTTGTAAAAAGCTTTCAATCAGGTCAAATTCCACTTCTAGAGCTGACAAAAACTCCACTGATCACAAATGATACAATTTATTCAAAACAATATGTTATATTTGATGAAATAGGGATTTTACAGCACTTGGAAAACAGACTCCAAAACTGAAGTTGTCTTCAGCCTTCCCCTTATGTCAATTTCCATGCACCCTCTTTCCATCTTTCTCTTTTGGGACTCATTGGATAGTGGGGAGGAAAACAAATGAACTAAAAAAAAAAAAATCAGCATAGGCCCTCCATTAGCTCCTTTTGATGAAACTACAGAGCTTTTAAACGCTATTTCCCTCTGTTGTGAAAGGTGCGTCTGAATAAAATCGTGGAGTATCAACATATTTTCAAGTCTTCTTTCATCTTATCTTCAGCCAACGACTTCCTAATTTTGCCTCAATGATTCAGATAATCCTGCTCCTTCCATTATGAAGCAAAAGGAAAACATGTGAAAGAGGCAGAAAGCCAATACTTTTTTGTTAAAAGAGAAGCTTCGGGTTTCCTTCCACTTTGCATGTCGGTTCTTTCTGTGGAAACAGAAACAAAAGTTCCCTGAAGCTGTATAGGTGTCAGAACACATTTAAAGTACTTAAGATAACAGTTAAGTACTGCTAACTTTCCATGAAAGATGAGTTAATACACCTTCTTTTTTACAGATTTTTTTTTTTTTTTTTTTAAAGGAGCACTTTCAAAGCTCCACAGAATTTATCTTTGGCAAAACAAAAAATCAGACTGGCTGCTTAGGCTCGCTTTATTACACCTTTTCGTGCATGACTACGATTTCTCAGAGCGCATTTTCCCGTATTTATGCTACCAGGAGCAACCCACGAAACTAAAATCTGAAACACGCCACCAAAATTAAACGGAGCT